GATAGTCAGACTGATGGTCCTCTATGATCTATAGGTGATAATCAGGGCCTTAACGATAGTCAGACTGATGGTCCTCTATGATCTATAGGTGATGATCAGAGCACTAATAATAGTCAGACTGATGATCCTCTATGATATATAGTTTACAATCAGGGCCTTAATGATAGTCAGACTGATGGCTGAGTTTACCTGAAACTCCTCAGACTGAAGAAGTCTCTTTGAGGAGAGACTAAATGTTTCTTTGAAGAAGAACCTGTCCACATGACCTACTACACCTTTTTTTGACATTTTAATTTACTGGAGATGTTCTGACAACACGCTGATCGATTCATTTACTGAAGTCATAAGCCATTCGTCTTCAAGTGAAGTTGATATTTTGCACAGAATCAGCAGCCTTTCCGCTGTTTTCATGTCTTGCTTTTCACCTTCCTCCTCTTCCTGTGCTCTGCTTTAGGACGACGACACCAGAGAAGAAGAAAACGGGAGGATCGAGCCGGTTGGCCGGGCCGACTCCTGCATGGATCACACGCCCGTCAGGTCTCTGGAGTAAGTCGAGTTTATTAATCAGCTTCTCTGCTTGTGTTTTTCAAATATACTATTAAAAATCCTTGAATATTGAATTTTAAAGAGCCCGACTGCAACATCCTCCTTTCTGAATTCACAATTTTGGAATTCTTTATTCTCTAAATTAAAAAAAAAAAAACTGGGAAAAGTCCAGTGATCTTTTAGCCCTCATACTATCAGTTGTAGATAAGTCTCAGCTACTGACTTATAGCCTTTGTTTTTGCTAAAGTCGATTAGCTTCTGCAGCCATTTTGAATGAGTTTTAATAAAATCCCCTTAGTGTTTCCTCAAAAATTTTGCTAACACAGACAGAACACACACAGAGAGTCAGATTTATTTTGCTTTTCATGGGGGCAGGTGATAAAACATTAAAAGTCTCTGGTTTTCTTTGACTCCCACGTTTTCCACACAAGGTTAGTTTGTAGTTTGCTTCTGATAAAGTCAAAAATAAAAAAGGAGAAAAGAATTCCTGTGCAGTTATGGTATTATTTCTCTGACACCGTGAAAAAATAAAAATAAAAAACGAGGAGGATAAAACAGGAGTTGTTTGTTGCTTCGCTCCTCGTTTGAAATAATCACCAGAGGAAATATTTTTTCTCTTTTTCCTTTTTCTTCTGACAATAATGTGGTTTAAAAAAAAAGCTCCATCCAGCAGGTTTCTGTGTTGCCGTCCAGGTTTGTTTTGCAGCAGATCTCGTTTAAAAACCTGCTCTCTGATTTACATAATTATCTTTTGTGGGAGCAAAACTGATCGTGGTCTCGCTGCCGGAGCTCTCCCACGCGCTAACCTGTTCAGCTCCTGTTATTAACAGCCATGTTTTGTTTTGTTATTTTTGCTCTGCTGCATGCCTCCAGCTTAATGCGCAGGTACGCTGTTATTATTATTCCTGCCATTTTCGCAGAAACCCCAGCTTCTCCTGCCTCTTAGCTGTCAACAAGGGACCCCCCCCCCCAGCTAATCACAGTCATTGCTTCTAAGCTGTGAGTGGATTAGATCTGGCGTCTTGTAAAACCTGCAGGAGTGAGCATGTTTCACAGCTGGGGGACGGGACCGAGTCGTAACTCTGCTTTTCACTTTTAAAGGGTCACAGGAGGTCATCTGCATGATTTATCTTCATATAGAATCTGTGAAAACCTCCACAGCTCTGGCTTTTATTCTGAGCTGCAGTTTGTTTTGTGTTTGTTAGTTTAGACTGTTTTATGGTTTAATAGTTTCCAAGTAAAATGCGAAAAAGCTTCACTTTTACAAACATCTATTMCTTTGCTCTGTTCTGTTTGTTTGCACAGAAATGAGTAAAAAGGCTTTTATATTTTCTGCATGTTTCGCATGAAATATGTTGCAGAATGATTGGAAATTAACCGTTTAAATGAATACGCAGGAGATCTGTATTTAATTCCACTGTTTACATGTTCTTAATTTCCTTTTAGGACTTTAATGTGTAACTATGCAACATCATTGTATTTCCTGATGCCCATTTCAGCCAGGACTCGTAAAAAAGAGGTTTTTAATCTTAAAGGGAGTTTTCTTGCTAAATTAAAGGTTTAATAACATTGAAGCTGCTGAACAGATTCAAACTCTGAAGGCTGTGAAACAAGGAAACTGTTGATCTGATGAATTATCAGGATGATTATTTACTTTTTAATCAGCAGAGGAAGTTAAATCTCAATGTCAGGGATTAAGTTTGTTGTTTACATTTATCTTCCATCGTTTATTTCTGCTTTCTTCTGTTTTAATTCTCTCGATTGTTGTGCTTTTAAAATTTTAATTACAGAACTCAAACTGTTTAACCTTGCTAAATAAAAAAAAAAGCTCAAGAATGTTTCAAATTGTTAAGTTCTGCTCTCATCTTGTTGATGATGAACCTGCCCTGATCTTAACTCTGTTTTTTTGTGTTATACGTATGTTTTTGTCTGTATTTAAGAGTTATTATTATCCTTTATTGTGCTAGGACCTGAGCAAATATTTCCATCATCTGCAAACGTGAATTCTGTTTTACCTCCTAACTAGTTGCCTCTGTTCTCTTAGTTACTCTTTCCTATTATTAGCATTCATGCTAACTGATTTTACCTCTTGTCCTTCAGCTCTCTGCACATTTTCTAATTTTCCTCGTTTTTGTCAACAACAGCTAGAGCATTCTCCGACAACACTTCTACAAAAAACATAAATGTCCCACACGTTTCACTACAAAATAAAAGTTTTAACTCCTGTTAACTTGTAGCAACCCATTAAAATAAAAGTTGTAACATTCGACTGTTTGCGCCATGACTTCTTGTTTAGTGGTTTAGTCCTGAGATAAGAAGTTGATTTAATTTGCCTCCTCCATGGCAGGACCTGTGATGACGATGCTCAAATGATAATATTGTGCAGCTATAGTTAGTTTGTTAATTTATTTCATAAAATATAACAAAAAATGTAAAAAAATCTCAAAATAAATCAATTATTGAATGAAAAAGGTGCAGAAAGAAGAAAAAAAATCTCATATTTGTCCCTTATTTAAAACCAACTTCAAATAAACAACTTAAACTTTAACAATCTCCATATTTGAGAAAATAAAAACAAAAACAAAATAAAAACAAATCTATAGAAACCATATAGAAATCTAAAGCAATCAATTCCTCACATGAGGTTTTACTAAAGGTAATAGCATCACTTCATAAAATGCTCTGACTTTGCAACAGCTGCTCATTTTTCTCACGTTTATATTTCAAATTCTTTACAGTTTTTATGTTTTTATTGAAGATGTGAGTTTCTTGTTGCTCCTTTCATTATTTCTTTGGTTTGTTTCATTTTTTTGTCTTATTTAAACATTTCTTTAGCGTCCTGTTTGTATATAATTTGTTTTCATCATCATATTGTTTCTTTCGTTCACTACCTTACTTCCTGTTTTTGTTCACATGGTGTCACACCC